CAGATTTCTCGGCTGCGCATTAGGTTTGGGCGATGGGCCGAATAATTTGACCATCGATGATGGGGTGAGCCGTTATGGTTGTTTTTAGAAGAGGCAATGTGCTTATTTGTTTGGCAGTGTGTTTGTTTGTTAAAGTAGCTTTCCGGAGTTTTCCTCTTTCAGAAATAATCTATGATCCTTCAGAAATCCATAAAAGTGATTACTGTGATATAATGTAAGCAATACGTCATTTTTTTCTTTTTATTTTACTAAGCAGAGCTCTGTGCAATAGGAAACTCAGCACTGACGTTAGACTACCGCTTACGTGCTTCAAATTTAAGGACGTACCTCGGCTGATGAAGAGTTAATGAACGTTTCACGGACAAGTAAGTGTTTAAAATATAAATATATTAAAACATGACATGAGAATAATACTTGTGTTTTAGCTCTGTTTGTCGGCTACAGAAGCACATTAATAAAGAAGAAACTTGAAGTCACCATCTTAAAAAAACAGATTAACTGACAATTTATGTGATATGCTTGTCAGCCACTAGATGGTGCCATCAGATAAGAGAAATACTCCGGAAAGATGCTTTAGTGACATATATTTTACACATTATGCTCAGAGAACATCGCAGAGGTAACAAATAGGAAAATATCTCCTTCGGCGCATATGAGCATTATCTCTCACTTTCTCCGAATCTTGCTGCTGACTTTGAGTGCAAGCAGCATGCTGAAGAGGAGCTCAGAGAGCGTCTGTGATACACTCGACATTGTGCACAAGAGCGCAAGCTCAACAACAAAACGTGATGTATCGCATGGTTTCGTTTTTGATTAAAAAAAAGAAAACTAAGCAAGGGGCAACATGAAAAACTAATTTTCATGATTCAGTAGTTCGTAAAGTAACCTTTAGCAGAAATACCCTGAAGTAATCATCTAGCATTGGGTGACTGTGGAAGAGCGTTGGCCCACTCTACTGTGTTGGTACAGCTCATTGAAGTTTAGCTTTAATTCCCGTCACAGCTTCCCTCCCTCCATCCCGATCCTGCCACAGTGCTGGGCTCAGGTCTATACTGTGACCGTTCAGTTGCAATTCTTTAATTCTAAAAAAACAGTCCATTATTCTGCTGTAGGTTTGCTGATTAGCTCAGGATCATTGTTCTTTTCATGATCCACCTCCTGCCAGGTTTCAGCTGTTAGACGGACGGCCTCAGATTTGACTCTAGCTGCACAGACGCGTTCATGGTTGACTGAATGACAACAGGGCTGCAAAAATGAGTCCACATCATCTTCATTTGGGTCTCATCTGTTGAGAGGAAAGCAGTGCCAGAATTATTGTGATTGGTTCAGATGCAGTTTTGCAAACTTAAGCCATGATTGCCTTTTTTTTTTGTTCAGACATTGAAGATTTTTTCCTGCCAAATATGCCATTTTTATTCAGCTTTTTTAAACTGTACTTTAGAAAAGGTGAACATGTAATAGGTTAACTGAGGTCTATGGAGTATAAGGGCTTTTTAAGCAATGCGCTGTCTTGGCCTTGGGGTGAACTTACTGGGATATTCACTCCAGGAAAGATTGTCTATCGTCCTAAACGTTTCCATTAGAGAGTAATCTGTCTTCCTGCAGAATGGTGGGACTCTGAATTGTTTGAAAATGGCCTTGCTCTTGGCAGATTGATGGGTACCAACAAATGTTTCTCTAATGATTGCTGATATTTTCCTCCTTAGTGTTGTGTTAACACACTCCTGAAAGCTTCAGACCAGAAAACCGACAAAACTCCTGCTTTCATAGAGCCGACACACCTGCAGATGATCGGATTTTAAAAGTTTTTTTTTTTGTTTTGCAATAGAATAAGATCCGTCCTACTTTAACAACATTAGTCATCAAAGCAGCTGAGAATACATTGGTTTAAAACCCAATAGCATCAAAGTTATTCACATTTAATTGTTAACACCCCGGCACTCCAACAATGCAGCATTTCACTGCAACACCAGTTTATGAGGCTCTATTAATAGTATCATAAGACAGCGTAAAAACAGATGCGGAACTGCCACCTTACATGAATGCTGCGAAAATCACAACTTACGTAAAAAAGCTAGAGTAAACCCAACCTCTTTAACATTTCTTACTTTTCTTTCAGGAACACTCAGGAGTGATTAGGCTAAAGGCTAGTTTATGCTTCTGCGTCAGTGCAGAGACACACAACACCATTATCCGTCGTTGTGAGGGCTCTCCATCAGGCTCGCAAGGAGGAACAGAGTCAAGCCCACTTTTCTAAACATCTGTCCAGTGAGACGGAGAATGCAAGCTCGTGATTGGTCAGGACACAGCTTCCTTTAAATTTGTCGACAGCACCGCTGTTGCGCCTTCCAAAAGAAAAAAAAAGAGAGCCGATGATGGCTAGCGGCGGACATGGGGCAGCTTGAAGAATCCCTCGTGTAAAAACTCAAACTATGAACGTTTTATTCACCTGTGACTAGAGGGGTGTAAAGATACGTAGCTAACATTTTATTCGTGGATGGAAATTATGGGAAATGTTTGTTTAGAGGTGGAGGAGAATGAGGCACAAATTTGTCCGTGTTAAAAATGATCTGAAATACTAAAAACACAACATAAACACAATAGTTATACACTATCTTTGACAGGATACCCCAGAAAAGCACTTCACCCTCAGTTTTCCTGGCAGGGAATTTCTTTGCAACACTCCCCAAGTGACAGAGGAGTTTGAAGGCAAAATGTTTTCTTCAGTGCGTGCATCTCTCCCTTGTGGACCAAACGCAGAAGCATAGGGTGTTTCTCAATGTCAAGGCTTCTGGCCTTGCGAGGCGATGTCTTGCAAGGCCAGAAGCCTTGCTTACGAGGACACTGTCCTTCCTTGGTCAAAGAAAATGGTTAAACGGAACAGACTTGCATCACATGACCACGGCTTCCACAGCGGTCACGTAACGTCATGTGACACGGGAGACAACGATATATTTTATACGTATTAGTTTCAGTATACGTATATAATGAGCCCTTTACTTTTTCAATTGTATATATATTTGTAAAATTAAATATATAAGTGAGTTACTACCTGCTAGCCAACGAAGCTGCAACTACTAAGCAACTAACCAACCATAGATAACTTCTTTGGATCTAAAAAAACATCTTAAATTAGTTGACTTACTTTTAAACTTGAAAATTGCCCCCGAAGTAGCTGCCGGCTTCTGATCCGCCGTCCTTTTGAAAACTGCTGTGTATTCTGGGTAAATTTTTGACCAAGGCTAGGCTACAAGACACCTTCCGTTTATCCTCGCTCAGCTAGCTAAACGGCAACAAACGGAGAACACACACCATGGTAGAATATGAACATTGGAACACGTCTTGGCGGCTCCCAATGACATATCTCCTGGGCAACTGGGGTGGGGCCAAGACATCAAAGCAAGATTCCTTGGCATTGAGAAACACCCATAGGCTGTGTCTCAATTCAGGGTCTGCATCCTTCGTCGGCCGGTTACGTCACAGCGCAGCGACCAGGCCTGTCCCAATTCGAAGACTCCTTCAAATGCGGTCGACGTATCCGGCCTTCTTTTCGCCTGTATGAAGGATGGGTCCGGTGTATCCTTCAATGGTTTACATTTCCCAAGATGCATTGCGGGCCGGACGTAGAACTTTTAAAAACAATGGCGGACAGTGAAGCGGGAGCTGTCGGAGAGGATTGCGCATATAAATGTCAGTATAAACTTGAAAACTGTTAGGTTAAGGACTTTTTGTGATACATGAACGTTATTTTAGTTAGAAATGTTACGGTAAAAGTGCTTGTATTGCGGTCTCGGCTCGTATGTTCGGCCGCTCGGTGTCGTACTTCTCCCGCTACGTTTTCCCCCTGATTTTAATAGGAGTTTGTATTTTAGGGACAAAAGAGAAAACCAGGGAATTTATTAAGCTTAGGGCGGAGATGGACCACATGTTCACCGGAGCAAAGTATTCGGTGGCTGTGGCATGGAGGTACAATAACATCTCATATTTTATAAACTCGCTTGAGTTTATTTTTTTCTGCGAAAACATGAAAGGAATAACCCGTTGTCCTCTTTTCTCTTCCTGTTTTTTTTTTCTTACATGTTTGTTAAGACTATTCTAGATAAAATGGGCATCCAGGGGAAGGTGACAGCGATGACCAGCTTCTGGAGCTGATCAGGGAGGACATGAAGCTGTAGAGGGAGGCAGAGCAGCAGAGGGCACAGGAGAGAAGGGAGAATTTTGACAGGCTTTTTACTTTGCTAGAAAAGAATGGTTAAGAAAGAAATGTACATATAAAAGAAATATCTAAATAAAATCAGTTCTGCATTAAATTCTTGAATTTTAATTTTGTTTACAAATGAGAACTGTTTAATATTACAGGGTATCCGCTGGGTCTTGAAAAGTCTTAAAATGTGATAAATGGGTTTTGGTCAAATTAAGACCCTTAGAAAGTATTAAAAACTATTATCTCATCTTTGCTCAGGCTCAGCTTGTTGAAAGTATTTTCTCTCAATTAGCTCTCCAACAGTCAAGGAAATGATTAAAAAGCTAAATAAAACTTTCATTTAAAGTTCCTTCTCCCTTCTGCTCAGCAGTTCCACGGTTGCTAGGCGACGGAACTTCGCCGAGGGAGTGGCGGGAATTCATGAAGGCTAGGCCTGTCCAAATTCACAGCCGTTAACATCCGGTCAACTCGGCCGACGGAGGACCCAGCCCACGTCGGCCGAGTAGACTGGGTCCTTCGAAGGATGCAGACCCTGAATTGAGACACAGCCATAAACTAGGCTTTAGCGAGTGTCACATCCATAATGGTCTGAGTGGAAACCTGTGTCTTACAAATGGTTCTATCTCTGCTTTGATAGATCAAAAACAAGTTCAAATCTTCAACAAACTAAAATTGTCATATAATACCTGCCCCTAAATCTACGTAAAGACATAGGCTAAATTAACCCATTAGTAATGGGTCACAGAACCTCCCGTAACAGGAATTTTATGGTGATATATGTGCATTCTACCCTCAGGAAAATGGAATTGAGGCCATCTTCACTCTTCATCCCTGCCCTTCCTGGACCCTCCCCTGGGACAGCTTACCCAAAGCGATCAACCCCACAGAAGGTAATGTCGGATCGTGCCTTTGGGCTCTTCTACTCCTTTTGCTTTTCTGTCCCCTGAAACTCTTTTCAGTGCTCTGCTAGTCTGTTTATGGGTCCCCCCCATGCTGTACCTATCTTCTCCATACTCAACCAGATTTTATCCTCACACTCGTTAAAATTCCCCCGTGTCATTATCGGTACACCCCTCTAGCGCTCTGCCTGTCTTTCACATTTTACTCTATTTTGAAACAATAACCAACACTGTAAATGGAGAGAGGAAGTGGCATAGGCATTTGCATTCAGTCTCACTCTACCTGCCTGTAACAGTGATTTATTTTTAGATCTAGTATTTTTTTTTTACAACAGAAACATGCAAAAGCTGCACACAAAACTGATGTGCAGCATCAGACTTGTGTTTATGCTTTGGTGGATGCCGACTGACGTGAGAGCTGTTACTAAAAGGCAGTTGAAGCTGATTGTTGCTGGAGTAGAGGGAAGAAAATCTCCTGCATGCATTATTTCCCTACCTATTAGTGAGAGGAGTCTGTGTTGTTTTTGTAGTTTTGCTAAATAGATTGAATTTGTGGGGAAAAATGGGGTTTACTCTTATAGAGATACTGATGTTAGATTTGATCTAACGATCAAAGGGGTTCAGGATACTGTAGGAGTCCTCTTTTGGCAGTGTTAGGAGTTTGCAGTAATCTTGTGTCAGAGCAGGAGTCCTGATGACATTCTTGTATGACCACACTGTTTCCAACTGCTTCACTAAAGGGAGTCTAAGTCACGCCCATCTACTTCCGGACCATGGGTCCCTGGAAGAAGGAAAACGTGAATGCAAGTCAATGGGGCTGAAAACACAATTTTCTAATTCTGCTTGTTATGTGCCATGAATTTCACACAATGATGTCCGTGAATTTTAAAGAGGTTTTATGTGAAAATAAGTCCAAGACTACAAATGTGCATCACGAAAGTGACGTCATCGAACCAGACACGGAGAAAAACTGAGGGAAAATGACTGTAATTTCGGAGAACTTCAAATCCTTCCTTCAGGAAATCTTTGTGTTTCCAGTAGTACACGTTTTTATTTTACTTCCGCAAAATGCTAATTTTAGATTAGATAGTGCAGAAAATGAGGAAGGCTTGCCATCAAATTTAAAAGCCATCTCTCATCAAATAAGTTTTTGATGTCAGGCGGATGACTCGCTGGTGGCTTCCAGGCGAGCAACTTTCAATTGCACTGCGAGCTACTGGTAGCGACGTGTTTGAGATCCCTGGCTTAAACAGTACTGTGCAAACGTTTTAGGCACATTAACACTGGTCCCAGTGTTCGGCAGCCTTGCTTCCGTCAGTGCGCCCCAGGGCAGCTGTGGCTATAATGTAGCTCATGACCACTAGCAAGTAAATGTGCGAATGACTGTGTTGTAAAGTGCCTTGGGGGGTTGTAGAACAGTAGAAGGTGCTATATCAAATAAAAGCCATTAACCATTTATTCCATCATCCTTCCTTTTTCAACTGCATTTCACTTATTTTTTTCACTGTTTTTAATTCTGGTAATTCAGTTAATCTTTGAATTCTATCACAACCCTTCTTACATCTGAAATCTGCTTCCATTAGCTTCAGTGGCTTTTAAACACAATTACTCTTATGTGGGCAGTGGATCTATTCTGAGTGCAAATTACACAAAGAGGTGAAACTTTAGCTGCTCTACTGTATTTTTGTCAACACTCTGCATGATAAACTGTGCTGTTGACACAGCTTTGTCGAGTATTAGGGTGGTCTGGGTTGTGTTTACTGCTGTCATTAAAGAGAAGTTTCCTGAATCCTTATGCGTGGGCTTTCCTCTCTCTTTGCTCCAAAAAGGTGCACAAAGCTCACTTACACAGTCCTACAACAGAAACTGAAGCATTTATCCTCATGTATTCACAGGTATTTCCATGTTTTCCTCGCTAAAAGGTGTTCATTCTTTGAGTATGTGTGGGTTGTTTTGTATTTGCATTACCTCAACTTAAATAAAAATAAAAACCAACTAAATGTGAAACTTTAAGCAAGTTTTGTGCTGTTTCCATCAACTAACAGTGCTTCAAAAATGCATAGATTTAATATGTGACCGATTTTTCAAAGTATTTAAGTATCGCTGACCTTTGGATCCCATGTTTTATTATAGGTTTTAGCTTTAAAATGTTCAGTTTGGCTCAAAACTGGCATTTTTAAGCAGTTTAGGAAGTCAGTAATTGGGATGTCACCATCAGAAGGCTGCCATCTTTTAATAAAATGGCAAGTCAACTGTTTAGCAACAGGTATACATTACAGCACCTAACAATACAGCTTATAATAACTGAATCGCAACGAGTGTGGCACTCATCTTAAGCTTTTATTTCTTGTAGTGCTTGTTGGTGACTTAAAGATAATCTTTATAATCTTCCTTTAAATCTCCAAACACAAACTGGTCTCGCAAAAACATGTTGAAAGTCAGACTAATGACCAAAAAACTTCCAGTCTTGTTCAGCTAGCTCTGCTAATGAGCTGAATAGTGCGTATAGAATGTTTGGTGTGAAATAAAAGTTCACTTTCTTTAACTTTTGTTTCACCTTGTCAAATGCTGAAGAATAGTTGATACCTTATATGAAACTACAAACACCAAAAGACTAAAGGAGAGGCGATAAAAGCGAAAATGGAGTACTTAAATTTTAAAGCTCTAGCTTTTGTAACCCGTCTTCTTGGTGCAGAACCAGACAATGCAAAAAACGAATTCTAAAATCAATTCCTTTAATTGCTCTGAATATCTTTCTTTCATGTCTCTTTTCACTTATTGTTCATTTCTACTTCTTTGTCTTATGAAGAAAACACATTTTTGCTTTGGATGTCAGCTCATTTCAGGCCCGCGAAAGAACAAAGCAATCTCTGAGTGAATACATTTTTTTATGTGAATGACTATTTTCGTTAACATAATGAGAGGTTGTGTTGTGTGTTAAAAGGTGAACAATCTCTGATTAAAGCAGCCAGATTATTTAATTAAAGTACATACCTAAGTCATTGCAAGCAATCTGACGTTTTATGTACGAGTAAGACCTTACCAACAGATGACCATTCGGGTTAAAAGTCCCTGGGAGCACAATTTTCAAATTGGTACTTCGTCAGGTCATTCAACGTCCAGCAGGGGCTCCACGCAAGAGCTCACCCCGTGGGGTCAAAATGATCACAAGAAAGGTGATCAGAAATCCCAGAACTACACGGGGGACCTAGTGAATGACCTGCAGAGAACTGGGACCAAAGTTACAAAGACTACCATCAGTAATGCACGCTGCCAGGGGCTCAAATCCTGCATTGCCAGATGTGTCGCACTGGTTAAGCCAGTACATGTGCAGGCCCATCTGAAGTTTGCTAGAGAGCATTTGGATGATCCAGAAGAGGATTGGGAGAATGTTATATGGTCAGATGAAACCAAAAGTTCTATTTTGCAGAGTTGCATCCAAAGATCACCATACCAACGGTAAAGCATGGGGGTGGAAACATCATGCTTTGGGGCTGTTTTTCTGCACAGGGACCAGGACGGCTGATCCATGCAAAAGAAAGATTGAATGGGGCCATGTATCATCAGAATTTGAGTGAAATTCTTCCTCCATCAATAAGAGCATTGAAGATGAAACATGGCTCGGTCTTTCAGCAAGACAATGATCCCAAACACATCTCCTTGGTAACGAAGGAGTGGTTTCATAAGAAGCATTTCAACGTCCTGGACTAGACTAGCTAGTCTCCAGGTCTCAACCCCATAGACAGTCTTTGGAGGGAGTTGAAAGTCCATGTTGCCCAGCGACAGCCCCAAAACATCACTGCTGTATAGGAGAGCTGCATGGATGAAAACTTTGTGAAAACTTACATAAAACATTTGACCTCTGTCACTGCCAACAAAGGGTATATGACAAAGTATTGATATGGACTTTTGTTATTGACCAAAAACTATTTTCCCACCATAATTTGTAAGTAAATTCTTTTAAAACCAGTGTGATTTTCTGGATTTTGTCTCTTATAGTTGAGGTATACCTATGAAAAAAATACAGGCCTCTGTCATCTTTTGAAGTGGGTAAACTTGTGCAATTGGAAGCTAACCAAATACTTTTTTGCCCCACTGGCAAAAAACAGCAGGAGGATGGTTCTCACAGCAAACTAAAAACATGGCGAAAGAGACAATGAGGCATAGAAAAGGGAGGGCAGGTGATAGAAGTGCATAGTCATGGTGTTGGAACACCTTTCAGGGTTGTTTCGAGTTCTGGATTTTTGGTTGTAAAGAGTTTGACTAAACATTTATAATTATTAGCAAAATGTTCTTTTTTATTGTTTTTTATGTTGTTCCTTACCGCTATAAAAGTCACATTTACGTTTTTACTTTTTCATTTACCCATAAATGTGTACCTTGTTGGTTTGTAACTTCTGGAAACTTGAATACAGCTCAAAATGTTCAACTGTCTTCACACTGCTGTGTGCTGTTTAAATAAAAGATGTTCATAAGACTTTAATAAAAAAAATTTTTTTAAATGCCCTCCTAAAATGTAAATTTCCTCTTCTCTGAAAACTGTTTTGCTGCCTTAATGGCTCATTTTCTTTTCCCCTCAGGCCTATCATCGTTCTGTTTCTGAACGCAAAAGAAGAAAATCAGCTAGATCAGATTCAAGTCCTGATTTATTAGTCTTTCTCACTACTTTTACTTTTCACACCCCATATTGAATGGATGCCTCAAGGACATGATATAAAATTAACCCAGCTAGACTTACTTAAATAGATGATCATTAACTTTAAATAATACAGTATGGTAATGATTTCATCCTCCAAACTGCACTTTTGTGATGCACTTAGCTTTCTCTTCACAGTACTGCTGAAAATGACTTTTCACTTAGTGTTTTATCTGCATATAATCAGTGATTACAGGCAGTTTCCTTTAGTGCTTGAGTGTGGACCATGCAAGTTTTGGAGCGGTGTAATATTGTTTTTCTACTTCAGCTGGTGCACTAAATGAAAACGAGCATA